TAGCGGTGGCTGCCGCTCAGAAATATTCTTTCAATATACATGAGAAGAACTAGAGTTTTTATGTTTCTTCCTGTTTAATTCCTTGTCTTTTATGATAATATAATATGCACACCACACTTTTGAATTATTGTTTTAGGTCAATGGAGGCCTAACAAATCGATTTCCTTTAGTTTAGCTATTTAAAAGTTGCTACACTGCATCCTTAGTTGACCTCTGGTAAAATGCAACATTTGAAATGCTGGTTAATCTTGGATCAATCCAACTCCAACCCAAGGCCACTACCACAAACAACCTGTTTACACCGTAGCATCCAACATTAATTACCTCTTAACACATTACATTTTGTTGATGATTCTAGACATGATATACGGCATATAAACCATATATAATCTGAATGATGTGGAGCTCTATACATTTAGTAACCGTAAAAAACATGGAAACAACACTCAAGGTTTTGGAACCCATAAATGTTGCATTCCATAATAACAAAGAATTTGAAAATAATATGGAACTTTCAAATTTCCAAGAGGTGGAAAAGGCCTAAATATAGCCTCTCTCCTTTTCTTGTCTTCTCTTATCACCTCATTCCCATCCAGTGTTATTATTCACTTTTTCTTTTTCCTTCCTTTAGCAAGGCAAATCATTCTTTCTCTTATCCTATTTCTATCCTTTTATTTTCCTACTATTTTTGAAGAAGGGAAGGAACAATGTATGTATTTGCATACATTTCCGCATGGGAAGATGAGCGTCATTCTTGTGACAGAGAGACATGGATCAATTAATTTTGCAACTTTATTTTACAGGAAATTAAGTTTAGCCTGTAGTTATAAATTCAATAAACATCACTTTTGTTTCTCTGCATCTGCCCTGCTCTCGTTTGGAGCGTGACTACTGGCAGATAGATAAATAGATAGACAGAAGACAGACAGACATGCACAGAAACAAACACGCATATGACCCCACGCATAAGGCTCCTGGGAGAACTTCTGCAATGCGCTCTACATGAGGCTGCACCTAAAGAGCCTCCAGAAACTGCAAATGCTCCAGAATGCAGAAGTGCATTCAGTAGGCTTCCAGGTACATTTCAAGGAGCTGACTGTCACCTATGAAATCCTGCATGGTCCAAGGCCAGGTTACTTGCAGGATCACCTTCCTCTGATAGTTTCCTCATTCCACCAGATGCAGGAGGGTGGGTATGCTCTGGATCCCTTCTGTTAAACAGTGTCATCTAACTGGACCCAGGAAGAGTGCCTTCTCTGTCGCAGCACCTCCCCTTTAGAACAGGATCCCCCCGAGACTCAGACGGCCCCAATCCTGTTAGCTTTCTGGAAGACTTGACTTTTTCCCAGGCACCGGGGCCAGGTTGTTAGTTGAGCCCACTAAGTATGTTATATGATGTGTTTGGTGCGAGTTTAGCTGGAGCCTAGGTCACACTGTATGGGAGCGTAATGTATTTCTTTTGCTTTATGTTTTTATATATTGATAGCCACCCAGTCACTAGGCTGAGATGGGCAGCCTCATAAATTCTTTCAATAAATATACAGGTTTTAAATGCATACATATTTACTGGCCAGGGAGGACATCTCCATGGTCTCAGTTGGAGCTAGCAAACCTAGGTTAATAAGGTAAGAAAGCTGGGCATTGCATAGGATTTTTGTTTGTGTTTATAATTTTTCTTCTTTTGGAGAGATTGTCTTACATTAAAGGTTGTCTTCCTTTTAGGCAAATATGGTAGAATTTTCAACAAGCTTTATGTGAGACTGAATCTTACAAAGAGCAGGCACTTTGGGGAAAAAACCCACATTTCATTTTAATTTGTTCATGAAATGTTATTGCAGCAAACTTTGTTTTCTGATCTCCTAGGACAGTGTTTCTCAACCTTGACAACTTTTAAGATGCGAGGACTTCAACTCCCAGA